TGAGATGCAGGTTTATTCGCCATCATGTAAGTATTTCATTTTATCCCTAACCAGTTCTCTAGCAATAAATTACAATGTTTATGCAAACCACTGTTGCAGTTTGAGGCTAACTTAAGCAAATTCATTAAATAACAATTTGGGGTTACAAAAAGAGACATCTTTTTCAGAGTTTGTTTCTGAAAAAGGTGTCTGTGCTTGCAACCCAAAGTGGATATCACATTTTCAACACCATCATTGGAAGCTGCGAAATGCATTATTACTCATTATGCATTACTCGTGGTCAATAGCAGAGTTCAGCAATGTGCATACAAAAAAAATGCTGAAAATGAAGATTAATGATTAAAATAGACTCACGTGCCAACACACATGCATACAAATCCTCACCAGTGTTCTTATTCTGGGAATATCTTTTATCCTGTTTACTCTATCTTATCCTGGGCTCTGTAACAGCTTTCAAAAAAATAAAGTGTACTGAAAAACATCAACTGTTTTCTCTCCTTAGCCTGCACATTTGAGCACTTCTGAGAATACTTATTGGGGTTCATAATTCCAATAATGCATTTCCTGATTATTAATCACAGACCTTGGGAAAATCTTTTGGAAAATCATAATGTTAGTAGCATTATCATCATATCTGAAATATTGAAGAACACCAGTTGATTAGGTAAATTGGGTAAACCCAAATTTTTAAAAAATATTGTGAGGCTGCAGAAGAAGACAGCGCAGGTTGTGAAAGGAATGTCACATCTCAACAGGAAGTATTTTACATAGAGATTAATTGACAGTTGGTTTGGTTATCGGGAAGAGGTAGAGCTCAGCATGCTAGATTTTTAAGGAAACTGTGCAGTGCTAGAGAGCCTGAGCTATTGTACATCTGTCATGTTTTTGTACAAGCTGCCAAGAGTTTAGGTAAAGTTTGAATGGGAAAGTAAAGAAATGGGGAGGAAATCCAAAGTTCTTCATGCACTTTATGGTGATTTATCCAGAGCAATTCAATCAAACAATTTAATGTAATCAAACAATTCAAAGCTAACAATTTAATGCATTAATGCCTTGGGACATCCTCCCAATGTGAAAGGTGTTATATAAATGCAATTTCTTGTTTATTATTCTGTTTGACCCAAGCAGAGGCCGAATATAAATTTAACTTGAAGACTTGATTTGATTTTATATTGAAAGTAGTTTCTGATTGAGCAAAAGGTCTGTATGTGGAACCCTGTTTTATAACACCAACAAACTTGCAATTATATAGTGCCCTTGACATGCAAGTATCTTGAAGAGCTAAACCTGGTTTGCTTAAATATCTTCCTATTCTCATGAAAGGTGCTATATAAAATGTAAGGATTATTTATTACAGTGATTGAATTGAACCTTTCTGATGCCCAGGGGTTCACCGTCAACCAACAGCAGCCTCAGAGTGAACTGGAGAGAGCAGATATGCAGCTGCCAGCTGTGCTGGTTTCTTGCCATTGACACTTTATTTACTGACAGGATTTATATCTTCAGGGATATATATCTACATCTGTCTTGGCATTAAAAATAAGTTTTAGCTTCACTGATAGGTAACTGCTATTATATTGCAGAGATCAAGTGTCCCAGCAAATGCCTTAAATGGAGAATAGAATCCATCTGTATAAATGCACCCTGCATTGAGACTACAACAACAACAACATTACATTTGTAGAGCGCCTTTCACGTCGGGAGGACTTCATCTGAACCAAGTTAGCTGATCAGAAATAGACCTGGGAAGTGTTCTGAGCAACAGGTTCCTGGTATTTTCTGAGAGGCAGGGACAGTTACGCCATGCACTTAAATCCTTCTGTGTACTAAATTGAGAATGTTCTCTGTTCTGTGCAGTTTTTCTCCTACTCAGAATCACTCACGATTTGGCTGAGCGGTGCCTCATATATGCATAGAATTTCATTTCAATGGGATGTCTTGGCTATTTAGGGTGTTCTTTCTTTCTATCATAGGTCCTCATTAGAAATCAGAAAAGCTTCCAAGCTTAAGACTTAATTAATTGGAAACTATTTTCCATTGATAATAAATAAAAATAATCCTTGCATTTGATAAGGCGCTTTTCATATCTTCTAGTTATCTCAAAGTGCTTCACAGAATATACTGTAAAGTGAATTGACTGTATATATGTGAGCGAAACGCTGCAGCCAATTGCACACAGCAGCGTCCCACAAACAGTTGTGGATTGAGTGACCAAATTATTTGTTGAAGGATTATTATCCTCAGAAAAGTAATCCGTCACTCGACTAACAATCAGGTTCCTACTTCCTACTGATAAACAGAGGTGTGTCGAGTAAGGAAACTTGTCTAACATTTCGCCCTGATGGGAATTGAACCCAGGTCTCTCGCTTGCGAAGTGAGTGCTCTAACCACTAAGCTACAGGATAGTAATCCCTCAGAGTAATTTGTTCCAGCTCTCCTTATGTATTTACAGTGTTCACGGCCTATTATCTACTTAACAAAACAACAAAAAAATTACATTTGTATAGTGCCTTTCACATCAGGGGGACGTCCCAAGGCGCTGGACAGACAGAGTTTAGGACCCGAGGTCGGGGAGGGTGAAGGGCAGTGGGGAAGCAGGGAGATCGAAGGCACAGTCGAAGAGGAGGGTCTTGAAGAGGGCAAGGGAGGAGGAGAGACGGAGGGACTGCGGGATGGAATTCCAGAGGATGGAGGCAGAGTGGCAGAAGGCTCGCCCGCCGATAGTGGGGTGAGTGAAGTGGGGGACTTGAAGCAGGCCGGAGCCCTCTGAGCGGAGGGAGTGAGCAGGATGGTAGAGGTTTAGGAGGTCACAGAGTTACGGGGGAACAAGACCGTGGAGGGCTTTGAAGGTGAGGACCAGGATCTTGAACTGAACAGGATCTTGAAATTCCCATCACACAGGATCTGGTCGCGGAGCTTAGTGCAGGAGAGAACACAGGCTGCAGAGTTCTGAATGATCTGCAACCTGGAGGGAGGAGTTGGTGAGGCCGACAAGCAATGAGTTTGCATAGTCGACCCTCGATGTAATGAAAGCATGTGTGATGTATGAGCATATACTTAAGTGTTCACATGGCAGTTCTTGCAACCGATTATTTGGGAAATTCAGTTGATGAACACTCAATAGTATCCAGTTTCATGTAGTGGGCCAGAAAAATCTAGTTGCTTGATAAAAGGTTGTCTATCTTGGATTTATCTTGTTTTTCAGAAGCTTTATTTTTGTTCCATTGCTTTGAGATTTTAAACTTCAAACTTTTTAATATTGCTTGTACATATTAGAGCTTTCTGTGTATATTTGCTTTCATTCTGGATCAATCCTAGTTTGTTTGTTGTCATAAAGGTCAGAGTAAGTGGGGTACTTAAGTACGAGCTTTGTTTATCTCGGCGATACAGTGCATGGTGTTGATATTGTACTTGCAACTGGACAATGTCCAAAACCTGGAGTGTTCCATGTGGATGTGACTTTTCTCCTGGCACCAATCTGGATCATGCTGTCATAATGTCCCAGGTAAAGAAGAAAATTGAGCATAGATGCTCTCAGGCTCAATCAAACAGGAAGCAACACTGCCTGGGACCATTTGGGTTCATCTGTATCTTTGTCTGGTGATAAAACTTCAGCTTCATGGTTCCATGGCATCTTTGGAATCAGAGCAATGATAGAGACTGATTCACAGCTAATGTGAGCCGTGGCAGGCCCCACGTTTCTTCATATCTGATCATCATTCTGGTGGCTCAAGTGGCCTGATATTAACATTCTTGCTTATTCTTGCCTCATAGAAATAAAACTGGGAGTTGGGATTAATCCAAAGTCCTTTGTGATCAAAGCCCTGCTTAATCTTATTATTAAGAGGGACTTTTTTTACATAAAGTTGGAGCAACATGAACAGCCAGATAGAAAACAACAGCAGCATGCTGAATGCCCGACCGACAATGGTGGGGCAGGAAGTGAAGGGGGACCTGAAGCAGCCAGTGTCTGCCAAGCGGAGGGAGCGCAGTGGCTGACATGGGGTTATGAGGTCGGAGAGGTGGGGGGATGGGGAGAAAGATTTTGGAGGCCCTTGAAGGTCCAAACAAGGGTTTTGTGCTGAATTCTCTGTGGAATGGGGAGCCAGTGAAGCCGGGCAAGAACAGGAATGAAAGGTTCCCGGAGGCTGGTGTGGGAGAGGACACCAGCTGCAGAGTTCTGAATAATCTGCATCTTGTGGAGGGAAGAGTTGGTAAATCCAGCGAGCAGGCAGTTGGTGTAGTCAACCCGGCACGTAATGAAAGTGTGGAAATACAGGCACATTGGGATGTCAATCAATGGAAGTATAATGATTGCTTTTTTGGTACATCCAGCCTCATACCATTCTAGAAATTTAAAACATTGTGAAACCTTTCTGGCTTCCAGTGGATTAAGGTGATTCTTTACTTCTGAATTTTAAAGCTTGGTGTCTATCCGTCAAAAACTGGGTTAGTTGTGAAAAGTATCATTCTTGGAAATGTTGCATAGCATCTTCATCGCAATTTTAAAGTGGGAAAATGTTCAAGTATGTTTCCTTGTCTGTTACTGGGGTTTTCATAGATTTTAATACGATTGGATAACCCAGCTGGTGATGGCATACAGATTGGCTGCTACTTTTAGGTGATGCTAATTCCGAGACTATTTAGTGTGATGCTTTTCTGCAACTGCTTTGGATCTTTCTATTCTTGGGTGTTCTTAGATTATAGGATATGAAGGGACTTAATTATTCTGAAGTATGTGTAGGAAACAGGAAAATGGAAACTGGAAGAGGCCATGCAGCCTATTTCACCAGATTATTAGATCTTACCAGATCCCAATGCTCTGCCCTTTTTGCGTTGTTCTGCCATTTGGCAGGTTACCAGTTCAATGTGAATTTGTAGCAGGTGTACCTGCATTTGGACTGCTGCTCTAAAGTGACCCAAACTAGTGCAATGTACTTAGGTAAATGAAATTCATTTGCTTACATTAATTTCTGTTCTAATTTTTTTTTGCTTCTTAGGTAAAGCGTAACATATTTGATCTTACAAACATCCCGGTCCGTCACCAGGTATGGGAAGGCTGGCCTGCGTCTTTCGAGGATGATTCTGTGAGTACAGCTGATTTTCAGAGAATCTGTACCATGCTTCATTCTTTAGCATTGTGTAATGAAGAGGCCTTGGGCATTTCTTTCAGCAGATGTTCTTTTATGTACCATTGCCGCTTTTGTTTGTGTGTGGCTTGATATATTTTCATTTCTGCATTATTTTCATATCGGCATTGTAACCATTAGCCAAACATCCTTTCATAATTGAAGAGAAACGTAGGGCACAAGAGCTTACTTTTCAGATTTGACAGCAGTTGAGATCAGTCAGCTGTATAAACATTTCAAGATCTTTTAGTATCTGCATACATAAAGGCTTTTGCTTGAAATAACGTAGCCACCCATTCAATACATTCTCCAACTTCTTGTGAATTGCTTTAACTTTTTAACATCAGTTGGAATGAAAACAGTGCATTGAAGCTGCGAATCTTGTTAGCTTAATCACTTTGTCGATCAGCGATCTGCTTGTTTGATTTTATACAGAAATATTTCAGTTATGGGGAAATGATTATAAGGCTCTAAATCTACTGGCAAAGTGCTACTTTCTTATTTCCAGATTATTGATGTCAGTTTTTTTCTCCAGTGGATCAAACCAAACCATGTGTTTTATTTAGTTTTATTTATTTATTTAGTTATTTAGTTTTATTTAGTTTCCGTAGAACTGAATCTAACATTTTATTTCAAAGTTTCCTTTTTAATTCAATTACCCCGAGTCATGCTACTGTATGAATCAAAGTGAATCCACATTTTTCATTTTCACAACAGAAACACTTTTGTACCTGGCTCCATCAGCAGCTTGTCTTTTCTAGACTCTAGAAGATCCAGCAAAAACGGATTATAAGACTCGAAAAGATGTCTGCCAATGCAACCATTAGAGATTCAATGTCTTAGCTCCCAATCTTGATCCACCAGGCTTTTATGAATGAACTCTTATCTTGGATAGCTAGTTCAGGGAAAACTAAGGAAAGGTAGTTTCTTCTAAAGAGTTGCCTCTAAAAATGCTATAGGGCTGTCATGACATTGAGAGTAACTAAAATCATCTGGTTTCCGAGACTGTAAGGTCAGCTCTTCTGTATTTACTGCATATATGCACAGAAGCCATCTCACTTCAAGACACTGGCAGACTATCCAGTTGCTTTAAGAATGGCGTATTTCCAGTTGTCACAGTCAACAATGTAGTCTTGGCCTCTATTTGGCTATTTTGTTTAGCATCTGAGACCCAAAACACTATTTTCACTGTACTTCTTGTTCACCTCAAGCTCAACAAATAACTGAATTTGCTGTAATTGTATTCATATATTTTCTTGAATTACTTTGAAATGCACAGCGCGCAGGATATGATGTTAGTGCTTCTCTGATAACCTGGAATTCGGACATTTTTTGTACACAAAAAGCCAGCTGGGTTTCTGTGGGTAAATGTTGTTCACATGAGCAAACCCCAGTTATAATAAAGCTTGTCATAACTGGGTTCTGCTGTTCTTTTAGGAATCTGATTCTGTTGCTAATGTCACTAAATTCTGTGTGGTTATTTTAAGAAAATTATTTGAATATGTTAGAGAAGTTTTATCTTCTGTTTCAGTGCAAATTATTATTTTATGAGCAGTGTTTTACCAAAACATTTCTCAAATGGAGCAAGATGAGTTGCAGGTTTTTCTCCACACTATTAGTTGAAATTTCCACTTACACATGGAAATCCAGAGATAGATTGTTGGAATGGAATGCGCTCTCTCTTCCTGGAGGGACGAATCCCTCTTACCTGATTCTGGAAAGTGTTAGGCACAGGATGGCAAGAGCCAAGGCTTGGGGACCCCAGAGTGTGCATTGGGGTAACTGCTGGAACCAGCAGAGCATGCCATTGATCTTGCTGTCCAGCAAACTTTCCCGCTGCTTCTCCAGTTAGGACCATCCTACCCATTAGGGTTTTGGCTTGCAGGGTTAACAGGAGTTGAGTGGGGTGACTCTCTGCCACCAGTGACTGGTCTGTTAACAGTCCTGAGATCTGAGCAGTTGTAACAAGCGATACTTGTGTTCAGGACATCAGTCGTGTGGAGTCCTGTAGCTCAGTGGATAGAGCACTCGCTTTGCAAGCGAGACACCTGAGTTCAATTCCCGTCAGAGCGAAACCTTGGGCAAGTTTCCTTACTCCACACAGAGCCTAATAATAATCCCTCCAAAACAAAAAACAATAATAAATGGGTCATTTTCAATCTACGACTGTTTGTGGGACACTGCTGTGCGCAATTGGCTGCCGCGTTCGCCCACAAATATACAGTCAATTCACTTTACAGTATATTCTGTGAAGTGCTTTGGGACGTCAAGAAGACGTGAAAAGCGCTATATCAAATGCAAGGATCATTATTAAAATGTCTCCTCTGCTAAAATGATGAAAATGCGTGCCTGTTAAAGTGTGAATTGAGAATCCAACGTGATTGAATGGTTCTGATTTGTCACAGTTAAACTGTCTCAGCATGAAAGCATTCCCCCACCAACAGAGCACTGTACCTGCTTCCCCAGTGAGGATGGACTAAAACAGAAAGAGTTATTGACAATTCATACAGTATCCCATCTCTCATTAAACTGAGAGCTGGAGCAGACAGTGTATTTTTCCTACCTAAAGGGATCAGAAAAACAATATATTAAATGAGTGTTGACTTAGATTAAGTTAACTGATGTTGCCAGATGAGCCGGGTCCATCAGGTTCAGAAGAGACTCAAGATTATACAGGAATCCAATTACAGCAAACCTATCTAGTTTCCTTGTTTGTTGAGCTTGAGGTTAACAAGAAGTGTAGTGAAAATGGTTCCCATGGTGTTCTGGGTCTCTCACTATACAACAAGGAAATTTTAAATGAATGCTTGCTAATGCAGGTTTTGAGTATTCATTTATGTATGCTGCATTCATTAACCCTTTTTCTCGCAACTGAACCCAAAGTGGCTGATGAATTTCCATAATCATCAAAGTATTATTAATATAGGTATAAAATCTTTATGCTCTCCGTGCTTTGATCAAATGCACCCACATCTTAATTTATTTGAACCTAATTTGCATTTTGCATCAGGTTCATATCTATAAAAAGTAGAACTTGTGAGCAGCAGTGAATGTCAGTTACATATCAGGCTGTTTGACAGACATCATACATCGTTATGAGCCATCTTTCCATAATTGCTGACATTTATCCAGTGTTTCACAGTATTTGCTAATGTATTAATGCAGTCAATCTTTGAGAGGCTGCATATAGCTTTTAGTCCTGGCTTTTATGGTTTCTTAAATTCATAGACCCACAGAAACTTATTCCCTTCTGGTTGCCTTAGTGACAGAGCTCAGAGATAAGCCAAGGCAGAGCCCTTTTGTGATTGCTTTCAGGTGACATTCAGTGATAGCTTGAGTAGAGTGTCCTTTTATAGTTCTTGTAATTCAGAAAATGATAACAGCTTTTGCTGCTTGAGAAGTAAGAGCTCTAGACCATTCCCTGATGGGATTTGCGTTTGCTTTTCTACTCCATGCCGGTGATAGTCTATTGAGTCATTGTGTATGAAGAGATTATGTAGCATGGCAGAGAAACCTTAACAAGGGGTCAAAATAACAATACTTACACCATTGCTACAGGCTAAAGTTTTACCCTTGGTTTTTCAGCAGTTGAAAAACGAAGCCAAGCCATGTGCACTATTAAATATTGCTCATTTATGCATATATAACCCTCTTGCATGCAACTATTTGTTAAACTTTAAAGCTCCCCTATTGCAAACAAGAAAATTCTAAAATACAGTACAGTAGTTTCCATTGTGATGCAACTAATCTTAATATCTTTATTTGCACCCATAAGATCGTTGAATACTACTATATGGGATGCCAAAAGGCAAGAAATTACCTAATCTGTTCCAAAATTTATTTAAACAGCTCAACCACGAACAAAATTTACACAGGGCTTTTAAAATGGTTCTCACCTTGCAAACCTCCTGATGTACCCTCAACTAATGCTTTGTCTCTTGGGACTAGTTTGAAGTATTGAAGTTTATTCTATTTGTATTTCCAGAATTGTGAAGTCTTTACCAAACTCGGCAGCAGAGCTCATTATTTGCTTGGAAGGAAATCCTACACTAGAATAATCTCTCTTCATCTATTAACCTTGCCCATGTTGTCCCTTTGTTCTAACAGGTACATAAAATAAAGAGTATCAAGGTTGGGTTGAGGCCAAATTCAGAAAAGCTCCAAAATATTGATTCCAGTCGAGCTGATTTTGTTCGTGTTCACGAGGTGTGGTTCTAAGACCATCCAGACACAGACTTCAACACGTTTGCCATCTTAACACTGGAGCAAAGATCAAATTGAGTAACGCATTACTAACTTTGAACTGGACACCACCTTGCATCAGACCAACACCTGTAGGTCTTTACTAGCATTGCGGCTTTGTTTTCATGCTGTAAATCAGCCTGATTTTGTTCCGAATAACAATATCGTTGAGCCAGTGCTGCCATATATTTTATTTTGGCACCAGTGGAATTCTCAGCAGTGCTCTGTTGTCTCAGTGCTACTCAGCATTGAGTCGCTCTCAAACAAAACGAATGTATATCAGTGCTAAGTCCTTGGCAATGACTGATCTTGGGAGCCTGGTAATTTGTGCCAGTGCATTTAAGCATCATAGTAACTGGGACAGACCTCCAATACCACATCAGAGACTGTAGGCCGTCTCTGACCTTGGGACCAATGATAACGGGACATTGGCCTTTCTTAGTCCGTGGAACCTTGGGACTCTGCTGGTTATGTTTGACACTGATACAGCCAGGTGGTTCACCCTCAGAGGGTAAATGTTTTAGTGGCTGTGAAACATGTGTATCTTTTCTTCCTGATCTTGCTGGATTTCCTTCATCCAGTTTCTTAACCAATCCCCCTTTCCATTACCTATTGTGAACTTTTGGAACTGCAGGTGAGAAATCTCAAACAATGAAAAGGGAAGTGAGAGTGTAGACACGCCTACATTAGAGTTTTGACTCAAATCAAGTTCATCT